CGTAGTGGTTACCGAGTCGAGATTATGTGCTGCATTGCCACAATCATGGTTAGAGTCCCACATGCGATGCTGATGAGACCTAGGCGAAGTCGAAGCTGTACTAATCTCCAGTCAGGGTGAGAATACCTTTTGGGAATCAAGGCCATGCGAAAGTAAATGGAAACGCGAGGCCTACTCATATCATTGTCTGAGACAATTCAACGACTATTCCTTCATCATCTTAAACGAAATAGGGTGAATACAGATCTTATAATGCCATTCTAATTCGGCAAGATTCGTTCCATTATGCAGCAAGTTTCTAGTTTCAAAACATTGACTGTCAACATTGTAATGGTATTATGCAACACACTGGCAACATATATACATATCCACCAAAAATATGTGTAACAAAAGAGCTCCGTTTGGTCTTAAAGTCAATCCTTGTCTCGTAATGTAATTGATATGGGGATGTGTGGCCCAGTAGAAAATATGCATCCTCAACAAGCAGCCCTTGGTTTTCAACCCCAACGTGACGCGGATGGTAGCTTCATTTCAATTTAAAAGATAAAGTTTGGCTCGCATATGAAGGTGAAATATGTGTTGATAAGATCAAGTCCGTTTGGCTCAATTGATATGGATACCCTCATTTGATGAAGAGATACAGCAATAGACTATCAATCTATCATGGCACAGTTTCACTGCCAAAAGTGACCTTCTATCGGCTGAATATATTTACTCTGGAAATCATTCTCTTTTGTGCCTCATCAGGTGGTAATTCGGCAACGAATCAATCCTCGCTTGGTAGACAGTCATCTTATGCCAGTGAATCGGTTCAACCGCATGTAAAAGCACCGAGAAAAGTTTCCAAGGCTGCGGTACTACGTGATGCTGCTTGGCTGATCCGTTGGCAACGAGCAAATCGGCACTCTCTCGACGAGAAGATTGCGGCGCTGAAGCGTCAAGTTGCAGAGCTTCAGGAATCGATCCGGTGAGCTGTCACATGTTTATTTTAGGTTGTTAAGACGAGGCAACCGCAGAATGTAGAATATATACGCTCACAGCATGCATAGATAACTATGCATAGATTCTTTACGAAGGCAATCGTAAATAAAGCACCATTTTGGAGGAAATCTTTCATCCTACTTGTAAGTTTTCTATTTAATGGCCTTATGAATTCGGGAACCTTTTATAAAAAACTCTAATAAGGACGTCTAGTTTAGAAAAC